CAGCTACTATCCCCAGCCGGGAATTGCGAAAAAAATTAAACCAAAATTCATAAAATTAAAATGGTGAAATAGTAATAAACAAAAAAATCCGTGATCCGGATTTTGCTTATTTTTGCCACAAATATTTTATCTGATACTATCTTGGGTTGTCATTGAAACTTTTTGTACATTTTTTGACGCTTAATCGATTGGCGTTAAAGAAGTTTTGTACAAATGTCGAAAATGTCGAAACTGGCTTTGCACCTCCTGTTCCTATAGGGAAACCTCGCTTAAAACTTCTCTAGCTATTTGATATTGCATTATTTTTCGCTGAAATTAAAACGTTTAGTATATTTTTGATGCTCTACTTTAGTTAAAAGAGCTGGATTCGATGAGAAGCCAAGGAGGATATCCGATATGCTTAACGCCGGAAATCAAACAAACTGAATTTATGGGAAGTATGGATTTTATAATTGATAACAAGCTATCCAGCTAAGATATTCAATCTGTCTGGTAGGTACGAATAGATATAGTCTAATAGAAATGATTTCTCGCAGAATTTCCCCGCTGCAGCCAAATGAAGACCAGGCTAAGCTTCACTATTAATTAACTCTCCATGGTTATGGGAAAGTAGGTTCATTCATAAGCGAAAAATACTGGAACTACAGGGTGTCCCAAAAAAATACCCTCCTATTTAGCGGTCCACAGTGATGCCCGATTTTCACGATTTAGGTGTCTATCGAACGCTTTCGGAAAGGCGAAAAAACAAGCGGTTTCGTTTTCTAAGATTTAATCCCATTGCGACGATATTCAAAGTTTTTCCAAAAAAAGCGCTTATTTTTCAACAGGAATTTTGCAATTAGCATGCAGATCTCCTCAGGTCCTGGGGTCCACCCAAAATCCGAGTGGATTCCACCCGGATTTGGGGTGGAACGCATGGAAATCGGCTGGATTTCGGGTGGATCCCAGGACCTGAGTCGCGTAAATCAGTAGTTTTCATGGGTTTTGGACGTAAATAGCGAACAAAAATAAATATTAAAGAAAACAAACCCTCCTTTGTTTTTCGCCTTTTCGAGGGCTTTCGATAGATACCTAAATCATGAAAATCCGATATCACTGCGGACCGCTAGGTAGGGGGAATTGACGCTTTGCATACTTCCGTCAGTATGTCCGGAGTATAGCTCAATAAGGACGGGGTTTTAGGGCGTATATGATACGTCATTGTGCGCGTAGTGACCCTGAGATGACTGCACAGCTATTAGAATCATAAAAAGAAGCTATTTTCGACATGAAAATTAGGGGTTTTGTTAAGTTTTCGACAAAACCTTTTGTTAGGAACGAATTAGCATATGCCGGAAGTAGAAAAAGACTATATCAAGGACTGACAGGAGAGTTTTCATTTTTCTCAGTTGATTGGGCGGAATTATGCAAAGTTTACGATCCAATTGTTCCCAGCCGGGGTCAGGGTTGAAAAGTCGCGAAACGGCTTTTCAACCCTGGTAATCTAATAAAAATGATTTCTCGCAGAATCTCCACGCTGCAGCCGGATGAGAACAACCCTAAGCATCACTATCAAATTAATTCTTTATGGTTATGGGAAAGTAGGTTCATTCATAAGCGAAAAATTAAAAAAATTCCAGGGTGTCCCAAAAACAGACCCGCCCCTCTAGCGCTCCGCAGTTATGTCCAATTTTGACGATTTGGGTATCTATCGAAAGCTCTCGACGAGTTGCGGAGATTTGTTCTCTCCGATTGGTGAAACTTCCGAATGTTTAACCCAATTTTTATCCTTTTGTTCGGGATAAATCACGCAATTTTGTGCAAAAACTCAATTTAATCGGCTTCAGTCTCATGCGAGGTATGTTTTTTCTTTGTCGTTCAAAAAGCCGACCTTGGGCTGCCAGAAAAGACGGAAAAATTTGGAAAATGGGGTTTTGTTAAAAACACTGGCAGGAGAAAAAGCATCGAAAATTCAGTGAATTTCGCAAAAATGTTATGAAAATTCGCGAATTTCAAAAATCGGAAAAGGATATTTCCTCAGCTCGTCGCGAATTTTCGATAGATACCTAAATCGTCCCAATCGAACAGCGCTGCGGTCCGATATAAGGGGTCTTTTTGGGACGCCCGTAGAAATAATCTAAGAAAAAGAATTTATCGCAGAACGACCCTGAGCCAACTCCGAAACAGCCCTAAGCATCTCTATTAATCATCTCTTCGTGGTTATGGAAAAGTAGGTTCATTCACTTATATTCAATTAACCCTAGTTGCAAAAAATGGTTCTGGCCTTTTAGCGGGGGGACCAAATTTCCCTGGGATTCTTTACGGCCCTTTAAATCAATATAAATCATTTTTATAGCATTTTACATAATTTTAGATACAAAAACAATTTTAAAAATAATGCAACGCTTCGCAAATTTTTGACTTTCTGGTGAAAAATGTATGAAAAATGATCCAAAAAGGTTAACATTAGTACGATACCCCTAAAGACACAGGCATTAAGTGTCTCAACCCAAACACTAAAATTAAACGTATGCAAAAGGGCACATAAAACTTTCTTTTCATCATTTCTTCCACAAATCACCACAATGAATGCATTAACGATTCGTTTTTAGAGGCTCTACCAACACCACCCCCTCTGAACCACAAAGCCCGAACATGGAGGAGAGAGAGAGAGAGAGAGAGAGAGAGAGAGAGAGAGAGAGAGAGAAAAGAGACCAAAAGCCCTCACCACCTCTGATGCGATCAGTCTGCCTGTCTCAACCCCTCGTCCCCCAGGACGATCAGAACCCCCATTAGATCCTATATTGTATGATATTATATAACTTACCGATGTTATTGGATTCCTTTATCTCTTATTATCGTACTGTATAAGTCTACTAGTAATAAACCGTAATCGTCCGGTACGTCTAATAGTATAACATAACAGTAATACATATAAGGGGAGTAATATCACTGTGCGTCTACCCGACCGGGCCACACACACCAACCTACTCAAGAAAATAGAAGGGAAAATTCTGAAATTGCTGATCATTTTTGAGGTGCGCCGCGAGCTGAAATGACGGCGATAATTCTTTATCTAGAAATCACGATGACCCCCTCAGAAACAAACTAAATTTTTCGTTGCTACTTTGAAAGCTAATAAGAAGAGAAACACCGCAATCAGAGCGCACTTTTCTCAAAAAATCTGGGCTCTTTCGCGTAGCCCAATACGGTAACAACGCAGAAAAAATTTAACAATTATTTTGGCATCGTGATGTTAAAAGATTATCTTTGGCGGATTCCCAGGTCCGGCGTCAATAGGAAAATACGGAAAATGGCACCCGGGGAATGCCCCGGGGGCAATTAAAGGGAGATGGAAGGGAAGGGAGATCGGGTAGCGAGATAGAAATAGAGAGCGAGAGAGAGAGAGAGAGAGAGAGAGAGAGCGAGGGAGAGAAAGAGATCGAAGGCATGGGTCGGTTAATTTGAGCCGTCCACCTCCAGTGAAGAGGAGAGTACGGGATGATCCTATGGACGGGAGGAGTAGATGGATGGCTGTCAACCAAAATACGCACGTACGAAATACGACGACGTCAATGGGGAAGCTGACCAAAACACGTGTTTTGAACAACAGGCCATTTCGAAGAATATCTGCTAGTTTCCTCAAGAGCCTTTGCTAACCTGTTCTACCGAATTTTTCGCTTCCGCAATAATATGGGCTAGCCTGCCCTCTTGATTTACCACAGTTTTCCTAAGAATCTTTGCTAGCCTGCCGTCTCCGATTTTTACGCAGTTTCCAAAGAAACTCTGCTATCTTGCCCGACGTAAAATATCCGTAAAATTTCCTCAAGAATCGCAGCTAGCTTGCCCTTCTCACACTATCTGCTTTTTCCTAAAGAATACCTGCGAGATGGCTCACTTTTAAGCCACTTTTTCGTTCCCTCGAGGAACTTTGCTAGCCGGCCTTATTTAATTTTTAAGCCGTGCTGAAAATCCGCAGATTGTTTGCCTCAGAATTCCTCAAAAATCCCTGCTACTTGACCTCTAATTTCCTCGAGAAGCTCGGCTAGCTTGTAATCTCGAGATTTTTACTTCCCTCCGGAATTGCTTTTAGCTTGCCTTCGAATTTCTCAAAAATCCCTGCTAGTCTGCCATGATCGCTTTAATTTTCCTAAAGAGACTCTGCCAGTTTGCCCTTTCCCAAAGACATACACAGAACGTTGAAACGATTTATTTGCCAATGATACAGAATACGCACAAAATTCCGGGGGGAACACATTGATGATGAAGAAGAAGAAGAAATGGGGGTGTGTGTAGATAATTGTCCGTCCATCCATTAATGCGGCAATCTGGAGAGAGACGGACAGGGAGAGAGAGAGACTTCTTCTTCGCGTGACCAAAAGCAATTTCTGCAAAGAAGATTACATACCGTAGCTGACCAATTAAAATTTGTTGAATTAGAATTTGAAATTATTCATTTTAAAAGTTAAAAATGTTTTTTATAAACAAAAACAAGCTACTTTTAAATCGACGTGCTATTGAATTAAATCAATGCTAGTAAAGCTAAGACTAAAACCAAAATTCTGTAGTTTGTAGCCTGTGCGCTGGTTCGCAATATCTTTAAAAACGGGCTTGGATTTGTAGTTTGTAGCTCGTGGATTTTCGAAAATGGTCACTGCTAGCCTGTCACAGTGTGAAAAACACCTAATTGTATTTCGTCGGTCCAGTTTCTACAGAAATTTTTGATTCCCAAGGTCTCTGCTAGTTGGCTAGCCTAAGCCCTCAGCTGATTGCCTTCCTAGTACCTTTAGAGCGTGGCTTGCAAGCCAGTTTAGCCTCCCCAATGGTTTCGGCTAGCGTACCATCCTAACTGACACCCAGTCTGCCTATCAAATGCCTCAAATCCACAAATTTCGGGTAAAGCTGTAGTTTGTAGTCTACACCACGTACCTAATAGTATAGTAGTGATGGTAGTAGTCAGTTAAGAGGGAGCGGGTGGGTGTGGGGTGGTAGGTAGGTGAGCATCCGGCTGTTGTTCTTCACCTCTTCTCGTCTAAAGAATTGGAAATTAAAAACCAAAACACAAAAAGTACTCGATTTGCCGGTGCTCTGCTTGCTGCCCTTGCTACGACTCTGGCCGCTCTGCTTGCTATCCCTGGATTCCGCTGTTAGGATCGTCTAAAAATAGAGATATAGAGAGCGATAGGGTAAGACTCTAGTTTACCCCCCCCCCCCCCCCCCAGCGCTAACTTTTCAGCCATACGTCCGATTAATGCGCCGAGTATCTCAAAATGTTCGCCGTGGTCGAATTACTATAAAAAAGTTGTTTTCTTGCGGCAAAAATTGCTAAAAAATTTTTTACAAGATTTTGAAAGTTGAAGATATTAAGCCGCTGTGCTTCAATGTACTAGGAGCCTAAAACTCAAATATTTTTATTTTCCGCTATTTTTTTCGACTCAAACGTACTGTAGGCTTATTCTAAAGAGCAAGAGCTACATTTTGGTACCATTGACAGCTCTGTACGTCAAAAGATAACCGAGATACGAAAAGTCACTTTGGAACAGCAAAAATTAACTAAAGAAAACCCAGACTTATAATTGTTATAAAAATTTTTCTAACAATTTTGGATGTAAGAAAACAACTTTTTTATAGTAATTCGACAACGGGGAACATTTTGAGATACTCGGCGCATTAATAGGACGCATGGCTGAAAAGTTACGGCTGGGGGGGGGGGGTAAACTAGAGTTTAGCCAGCGATAGAGCGAGAGGCAAAATTGCCGTATCCGGTCACTAAACCGATTTTGGTTTTTTATATGTCAAAATGCTCAGCAGGTCGAGCTGATTCAGGATCAATTGAAAAAACTTTTCGGAAACACTTCTGTCTCGAGATATGACACTTCAAAGTTGGCTACTGAAGTATCCGGTCACTAAGCGAAAAGCGGAGTTTGTTATGTCAAAATGCGCAGTAAGTTGAGCTGATCCAAGATCAGTTGGAAAAACATTTCGGAATAATCGCTATCGTGAGATATGTAGCTTACAAGGTCTCAAAACAGGCCGAGACGTAGTACGCAATACACCTATATACGCGAACTGTAAATAGGAAAGAACGGAATGGTAGGGAATTGCTGTTTCTTGGGTAAAAAACATGGTCAGGCAAGGTGGGCCGTCGCTTCGGATGGGCTGCCGCTCCACTCTTTCGAAATCGGGGCGCCTGGCCGCTACGCGCGCCTCGGGCGCCCCGATTTCGAAACCCTGTACGAGCTCGCACCCATCCGAAGCGACTAGGCCCCGGGTGGCACGAAGCCTTATTTTTAGGCTCAAACTTGGTGTGGTGAGTAAAGCTAAGCTTTTATCGAGCGCTTATCCATCTTTTTCCGCACTGAAAACGGAGGGGCGAGAACAGGTTATATAATGAACGAGTTGAAGTCGAACTTTGAAGTGTCATATCTCGGGACAGAAGTGTTTCCGAAAAGTTTTTTCGACTGATCCTGAATCAGCTCGACTTGCGGAGCATTTTGACATATAAAAGACCGAAATCGGTTTAGTGACCGGATACGGCAATTTAGCCGAGCGAGAGAGCGAGAGGGGGGAGAGACATAAGAGAGGGCGGAGGGAGAGCGAGGGAGAGAGAGAGCGAGAGAGAGAGGGAGAGAGAGGGAGGGAGAGAGAGACATAAGAGAGGGCGGAGGGGAGAGCGAGGGAGAGAGAGCGAGAGAGAGAGGGAGAGAGAGGGAGGGAGAGAGAGACATAAGAGAGGGCGGAGGGAGAGCGAAGGAGAGAGAGAGAGCGAGAGAGAGAGAGAGAGGGAGAGAGAAAGGGAGGGAGAGAGAGACATAAGAGAGGGCGGAGGGAGAGCGAGAGAGCGAGAGGGGGGAGAGAGACATAAGAGAGGGCGGAGGGAGAGCGAGGGAGAGAGAGAGCGAGAGAGAGGGGAGAGAGGGAGGGATAGAGAGACATAAGAGAGGGCGGAGGGAGAGCGAAGGAGAGAGAGAGCGAGAGAGAGAGAGAGGGAGAAAGAAAGGGAGGGAGAGAGAGACATAAGAGAGGGCGGAGGGAGAGCGAGAGAGCGAGAGGGGGAGAGAGAGACATAAGAGAGGGCGGAGGGAGAGCGAGGGAGAGAGAGAGAGCGAGAGAGAGCAAAAAAATACCTCCTCCATGACGGATGCGCCGTACGCGCGTTCCTTGATCGACGGCACGGCATCTTTTTTCTTCCCGCACAACACCACCTGGAAAAATTAGATGAATGGATTTTTGAATGGATTGAAAATGGATTTTTCCTAGCGTGGTAGGGTTTTCCATTGCGTAATCGATTATGACATTTTCATGCCGGTATGACATTCGCGTGTAAAATGCTCGCGTAGCGGTTTTGCCGGAAATAATTTTTGTGAGTTACTATTCTATTTTATCTGATTTAAATATTTGAAATTAGCATACCATAAGCAAGAGGATTCCCGGATAGAAGAGCCAGAACATTCCGCCCACCGAGGAGACGGCCAGCGTGGAGCAAATGTGAATTTTTGGCAGGGTTTTCCGGACGTGATTGTTGTGATTTATGGTAATTTATGAAAATTATGCTAATTATGTAAATTACGTGTACTGGTGTAATTTCGCACTTGTTTCCCTAGGCAAATTAGGATTGTCTCTTATTTTAGTCAGGTCTTTTTCCCCTCAAATATATTGATTTATTCTATTACGATAATAAATTTGAAACTATTTCAAGTATTTTATTAAAACCACATAAATTAGGTATCACAATTTATAGACACGTCGAATTAATTGCAGGCAGGATCACATATTTTAAACTGAATAACTTTGTGCATTAAAGGAATTTCATGGCGTAATGGATTGGAAGCGAAAAAGTAAATTTTCACATAGCATTTCGCAGCTTTAGAACAGTCTTTTCTTGTTCCTTATCCGTATGCGATTTCCTGAGGACCCGTTGCATCAAATCATAGTCCTTTGCATCGTATGCAAGCTTGGCGGCAGTCGCGAAATTTCTAAAATTGGATTCCTGGTTTTTTAGGGTTCCCAAAGGATCTTGGCTAGCTTGCCAAATTCCCAAATTTTCTCTGCTTACCTGCCCTCCCACTTACCCATAAGCAATATGCGCGGCCACCCTCTCGGTCACTTTATAATCATTCAGTCGAGACAAGAAACGCTCAGCATGCTGTTTGTTGCCGTGTCGGATTGTGGCTTCGATGAAGGGCTGAAAAATCAAATCTCAATACTATTTTAACTTGCAAAGACATTAAAAGACAATGGAAATCCAATTTTTTTTTTACAGAACCCTAATTTACAAAGCTTTTCGGTCCTCCAGATTGCGTCGATGAAAGGCTAAAACAATATTATCTTCAAAATATTTTATTTTTAAAACCGCGTAAGTCCATGGCAAAGACAACATTTGTATTTTTTAACAAAAAAAAATGATTTTGGAGTTATCTTAGGCTTGCTGGTATCCTTAAAATCCTCAAAAAATTCATACCGCCAATCCATAAGGTGATTTTTGCTGGCCATATCGAAGAGCTGTTCCCATTTCTTGTCGGCGGCCAAGCCCTCGATTACCCACAGAGTGACCCTGAAAAGAATAGAATTAGTTGGTTTAAAGTGGCAGTAGTACTAAAAATTGTCTAAAAATTTTAGCTTACTGTTTATCGGATAATTTGTACTGCTGCTTCGTTTTCTGGACGATATCCGGCTTCGAGGCGTTGGCAATGATCTAAAAAATGTTTTAGTTGTTCGCTCTCTCGCTTCCTCTCTTTCTCTCTCTCTCTTTCTCTAACTCTCGCACTCTCTCACTCACTCTCTCTCTCTACCTGTTGTCTAACAGTCGACACATTCCAATCAGCTGTCAATTGATTGCATGCCATCGTGACGACCTCCACGATATTTGCATCTTTCATATGGCCGGCTATTTCTTTGGCCGATTCGAGGTGCTGGCGGTGTTCTTCGGACTGCAACTTGGATATTGAAGGGATTGTGTTAAAATCAACTACCTGAATAATCGGATCAGCCTGTTCAGTTGCATCCAAATGGAACAACAATTTCCTGTCATAATCGGAATTCTGCTCCAATAGTGCCAACATTCTTGCACCGCCATTTCCAAGGGCTCCGCCGCTACGTTGCGTAACGTATTCCGCATAGAGGCAGCGCGCCTGCAATATGAGAATCTTGCACCAATCCGAATCTTTTAGCTGTCAGAGTCCCGTTAAAAGTTATTTTCGGCAAATTTTAACTGGAATTTATGCTTTAAAGAGACCGTAAGTCATTTAATTCTCTATGGATTATGCTGAGCCTCAACGCTAAGCTGCGGAAAATGGTTTAAACGATTACGCAATGAAAAACCGGGATGAAAATCCTTTAATCGCTATTTTCTCGCATTTTGACTATGGCCAAGTGGTAGTGTTCTAGCCCGCCAGGCGCAAAACCCGGGTTCAATTCCGGCGGAGCCAAATTTGCTTGGAGCCACTTTTTGCTCAAGAAATCAGAAAATGGCCATCTAATACAATTACCTGTGGAATCTTCTGAATCTCCAGCTCATACGTGGTCCTATTCTTCTGTTTGATGAGATGCCGAATGACTTGATGCATCAATTCGGGCTTTTGGGCCTTGGCTGCCAGACCGAGGGCATCACTCACATCTTGCAGGGAGAGGAGGACAGAGACCTGAACAGAGAGGTGATAGGGTGAGAGGCAGAGGGAAGAGAGAGAGATAGAGAGAGAAAGATCGATAGAGATAGGGAGAAAGAGATAGTTAGGGAGATATTATGATACCTGTTTCTCCTCGTCCGTCTCCCTTTTTATCAACAATCGAGCTAATTGGGGAAGTCCAGCCTCAGCGGCTCGACGTGCAGCATCTAAATATTTTTTCAAATAAACCCACAAGCAACTAATTAGGGCTTTTTTACGTTCTTGACGCCCCTAACTATTTTTTGCGCCACGACCCGCAATGCAAGTGCTCAAAAATTTCATTACGTAACGGGTTGCGAAAGTTTTCGACAGAAAGAGACACTCGAGTCGCGTTGCCGTGCGCCACAAAATCAATAGGAAATCTAGCCTTCTATGTTCCTTTAAGGGATTCTAAGGCAATACCTACCGGCAAAAGAAACCTGCGGGAATTCTGAGAATTTTTGGGCAATTTTCTCGTCCAGCACTGTCATATCCGCATAAGCACCTCGATTGGCCAGTTTGTCGAAATTGGCTTTGACCTGAAAGAGGCTAGAGATGAGAGAGAGAGAGAGTGAGAGAGATAGAGAATAAAGAGTGAGAGAGCGCTAGAGAGAGGGGGAGAGAATGAGCACGACTCACCCATTCGAGTAGCACCACGTCATTCCCATCATTTTTCGTCTCATCACAACCCATCGATACTCTGGAGGCCACTCCAAAAGCCCCGATTTCCACGAGCCGATTTACCAGCGATTTCACCGATAATTCCTCCAATCTAAAAACGTTAATTTCGCGGAGTAATCTATTTACTTACTGTAGGTATGTGAGGGGGATCCCGGTCCTCACCATTCGGACCTCATTGATAATTCTGAATTGGCCGAGAGCACGAACCAATTGGGATGAGTCAAAGTTTGAGCAAAATGGGATGCCGAAACGGATCGCCTGAAACAAAGGGCGTTTTTGCTATTTTAAGGGGCTGCGAAGCGCCAGATTAGACCCGCGCTTCTAGGCGCACTAAGTCTAGACAACTACGACTGACACCTTTAACCCGATTGCAATGGCGAGATCTTTACGCTTTTAAAGTGATTTTGGTAAAGGTACAATCGAGCCGTGACTTCATAAGCCTTCAAAATAATTTTAGGCTGTATGTAGGTTGGCTGGAAGAAACCATATTTTAAGTTTTTCCTGGGATTTTTTTTGTTTTCACATGATTGTAAGGTGCCACAATCAACCCCTTCCAACGTCTAGGTCTAGACAACTACGCGGCAGACCAGGCAACGCCGTCGTTGTCATCTCCTATGTCCAACAAGTGACGTTGGGGAAAAATTGGGGAACGCTTGTGGAGATCATCTAGCGTGTCGCGTATCAGTCTAGGCCTAGTCGATGCAAGGGGTCGACTGTCTCGCTTTCTAGCCCCATGAATCGCTCACCATTAATAGCTGCTTCTGGAGGGATGGATCCGAGACAGAACAGGCGGCTCCCATGCACTGAGCGATTGCTCTAAAAATGTGGATTTTCCAGGAATACGACAGAGATAGAGAGAGAGAGCGATCTCGGAGACCTACTTTGGCATATCCGTAACACCCGCAGTGAGATTCTCGAAAGCATTCAGGGCTCTATTCTGGCATGCTCGAATATAGGCCTCGAATAGAAATGCGCCCTGGGAGCTGTATCCCATTCCAAGGACCCCTTTTTCGTCGCCTGAAAGTGGAGTTTGAATGCTGTCACTCTCCCTTTAAAGTGCATTTTAAGCGCCAGTATCGATCCTTGAGATTTACTAGGTCTGGACAACTACGCGACGCGTCTAATACCGCATAAAAAACGTTCAAAAACCAGTAACTTTGTGTCGTTTGGCCAGTTGCGCAACTTTTTAGGCCTAGTCGCTGGAAGAGGTCGGTTTTTGCGCTTCCTAATCCCTTTAACGTACCTGAAACAGGGCTGGCAAATGTCGATCCAGTATTCGCATACATTCGAACGCCATCTGGTTCGCTCGTTACTTGCACATGGTCGCCTGTGTGTCTAAAAATTTTTGTCGTTTCTCAAATCGTTTTTGTTTTTTTTTTTAGTTTTTGACGACTCTGTAAATACTCGAAAACCCACTCATAAACCGCTTGCGCATCGTCCACCGAAAAGAATTGGATAATGGATTGAGTTCTCTGGAGAAAAACGGCCGATTCTCCCACCTAAAATTGACCAAATTCGTCAAAATATTTTTGTGCTTTCCTACCCATCCCAATTTGAAGATCGCGTGCTCGCCGGGGACGGTAATCGATTGGAAAATTTTCGACAAATCGGCCGAGACGATCTGAAAAGGAGAATTTTGCTGTCAAGTGCCCCTTAAAGGGCTGCCGACGGCATGTGTCGATCCCCCCCCCCATCAACAAATTGGCAAGTAGCCAACAGGGGAGAGAGCGCGCCCAGGGCAGAGGCGCAGAGACATTTTCTTTTCCGCGCGTAACCGATTGACTATGCCGTCGGCATCCCTTTAAAAGCAACTTTCTCCGTAGTTTGCGCTCACCTGTATCAGCCTTTTCGAGTGATATAACGCGACCCTGGAGACATTCCAATCCGAGCTCATCCTACAGTAGTCACCGTCTTTTTCTGCCCAGGAGGTCGGCTAAAGAGAGATTGTGATGGCGTAACGGATCGAGATCTCGCTACTTTCTGAGTTTGTTTTAGATTTACCTTGCGTAATCAAGTACGCGCTCTAAATTGCACTTTTAACGGCACCGAGAAGTGAATACTGCGAAATTTAGTCGAATTAGAACTCTACGAATTTTGAATCGCCGCGGCACGCAACGCAAAGATTTACACGCGTTGCGTACCGTTAAATCGGGCCATTTTGAGGCTTTAGCTGGCGCAATCGATTACGCTTTCTATTTCTCTTTTGTTCAACTGCCTTGCTTTCCTTAAAACTCACAATAACCCTCATGGTCTCTCCCTGCTGCCCCATTAAAAATTTGTTGCCATAGACGCAGATGACGGAACTGAGAGATGAAGAATGGAGGGCACACCATGCCGATGGACGTTCACTCATTGCTGAAAAAAAAACGGGTATTCGCCTGTTTTTACTATTTCTAAAGCTAAAAACTTTACAAACTTACATTAAAAATACAAAAATATCGATTTTTCGACGAAAAATGGAGTATTTTCTAGCAAACGTTTACAATTTCAAAAATTTTCTAGTTTTTAAATAGTTTCCACTCAACAGAAAGCAAAACGTTAGTAAGAACGTTATTAAAATGCCTAGTTCTGGATTTACGGAAAAATAGCTTCCCCCCCCCCCGATAATGCACAAGAACCGCAAAAATTCTCAAAAACAACAACTCACGTGATTGCATCAACCAGGGAATGGCCTCCTTCACCGAATTCACGACAAAAATGCGATTCTGGCCGTCGAGAATGGCCATCCCCGTGTCTCGAGCACCATAATTGAATATGCAATAATCCTTGATGTCGGTGATGTCCTAAAATTTCAATAAAACTAACATTCAGTCCGCCTACCGTAGAAAAGTAAAAGGAGCCATCGGATCGACCATTCGGTTTGAAACGATTGACGCAACTCTTGTTGTCGAGGATGAGTAGACGGTGAGCACGAGACCACCCAATGCCCGCAACGTCTCCTAAAAATGTATATTACGGTAGAAAAACGCGTCCTTTCTAAACTACAAAATTTATTTTTGTAATTTTTGGCCAGCCATTCGTTGTTCCGAAAGAGCCTCGTATATGAAGTTTATCAGCTTGAAAGTTACCTCTTCGAATCGGTTCCTGCAGCAACGGCCTGGCGGCAGCCGTCCGAATCATCACATCCCACGAGGAATCCGGTCGGCATTCAGCGATTGCTAAAATTCGCGTATTGTCGATTACAGCTTTTGCCGGCTTAATCATAGGTATCAACGCGTTTTCTCAAAATTTCCACCCACCAATCGGCCCTCCAAACGGACACGCGGCAAAATGGACGGCCTTTTTGATGCTGATCGGCTCGTGACGGTCGTAGACTGGCTCTGTTCTGAAAATTTAGCGGTTACGCCTTGCTTTTGCGACTTTTTTGTCGTTTTTCTTTCTTGCATTCTTTTCCAGAAAAACTGCGAAGCGAAGCTTTAAAGCTACTAGATAAAGTTTGGGTTGAAAATATGGAATTTCGAGGTTCAGGCATTCCTTCGTCAGCTAAATGCGTAAATATGCTTTTTGAATTTTCTCAAATAATTATAAACGTTTCGTTTTAATTTTGCTATACTTTGCAGGTCGAAACGGCTCGTTTCTCGGGCCAAAATGGCGATTTTCCGTGTTTACCAACTCACTTGAGCATGATATCCCCAATCGGCACCCAGTTGATCGTGTGCGTCGCCTTGTCGAAGGGCGTTTGAAGCCCCATATCTGCAACAACACTTTCTATATATCTGCAGAGGCCGCCTAAAAGTTACACAGATTCAATACCCTACAAAACGCTGGTCTCACGCAAATTCAGGCTAACGTCGCTGAGGAATCCGCAAAACTCGCTCTTTATGACCAAAATCTTATAAAATCAAGAAATTTCCTGACTTCTTTGGTGGTTTCTTTCTCTTCCCGTTTTCGCAGCTAACTGCGACCTCTGCTAAAGCAAAAAAAAAGAAATTTTCAGGGCTGGTGCCAAAGTTGTAATCTAATGTATAGTTTGTAGTTTATACTAAAAAGATAGCTAATGAAACTTGCAAAGTCGATGCTTTCTAACTGAAATCGTGTAAAAAACGTCGCAACGGGACTATATTATAAAATAAAGCGTCGAAAACTGAGTTTATACTCGCTAAAATCCTCTAAAAACCACTGACAAGTATAAATTCTTTATCGAAAACGGCCTCAACTTTTACACACCAGAACGACCAGCAAAAAACACACACTAATCGACCTAACCAAGGGAGAGAGATATACAGCGATCACTTTCGAAATAACATGCCGGGCCGGGGTGTAAAAGGGTAGCAAGTATCAATGGGTGTAATAAAAGAGAAAGAAAGAGAGGAATATAACTCGACGAAAACAATTATAAGGGGGCCTAAATAACTCGTGGTGGGGGAAGGCTTCTTCTCTATCTATCGGTACAAATATTCGGACTGCAGGTTAGCGGCCAGCTCGGGCTCCCAGCGATCGCCGTTCAGCAGCAGTTTCTCCTGGAAATGACGGGCATTAATGGGTATCAATATTGATGATAAGAAAACAGGCAGATGGACACGTTTTCGATCGATTTCGACCTAGTCTTAACAATTTTTGGTTGAAATTACGCGGCCGTGAACATTTCACAAACGACAACTCGCCAGGAGACGTTTTTTAGTGTGAATTGAGTTTTAAGCAGCATATGCCGATTTTGTGCACGACTTGCGCTGATTCCGAATCTGTTTCCAAAAACTGGTAGATGGTATTCCGACAAAATTGGAAGGCTTCTGAGCTCGAAAAACGGATAAAATGGTTATACTTTGAATGCCTACAAAAAACTCAGAAAACGGTTCAGGAAAAACGAGTTAGCACGTCATGCTCCACAAAACTGTACACTTTTGAATGTGCAATTTCAGTCCAATTTTTTCAAAGTTACTCGGTTACGGAAGAGGAACGAGGTCTGAAAAGCTTTTTGAGCAAAATTTGGAAAATTTGACGCTAAATCCATTCGAAATCGCAGATTTCTCGGAGCATGACGTGCATATTGGTTTTTTAAGCTAAAAGCATTGTAACTTCTTCAAAATGACCATATGGCAGTGGCAGTTTCCCAAAACCGTTTCGGAAACAGATTCGCAATTCAGATGGCAATGAAAAAAGAAGGCAAAGAAAGGAAAGAAAAAAACTTTTAGGAAAAATGTTGTCGGATTTCGCTACTTTCCATTCCAAGCTCATTAAATACCTTATTGTAGAGGAGCTCCTCGTGCGTCTCAGTGGAATATTCAAAGTTTGGCCCTTCCACGATGGCGTCGACGGGGCAAGCCTCTTGGCACAGGCCACAGTAGATGCACTTGGTCATGTCGATGTCGTAGCTGAAAGCAGATGTATATTTCGGAACAAATAAAATATTCACTGAAATATCTGTGATCACTAAAAAACCAAAATTTCACAAAACCATACCGGGTGGTCCTCCTGCTGCCGTCCGGACGCGTCTCCGCCTCGATGGTGATGGCCTGGGCGGGGCAGATGGCCTCGCACAGCTTGCAAGCGATGCACCGCTCCTCGCCCGATGGGTATCTGCAGAAAAGCATGTAAAAAACTATAAAAAAGTTCTCACCTGCGAAGCGCGTGCTCGCCGCGGAAACGCGCCGAAAGCGGTCCCTTCTCGAATGGGTAGTTGATGGTGGCGGGCTCCATGAAGACGTGGCCCAACATGACGCCGAACCCGCGGAACAGCTCCGAGAACAGGATCGTGTTCAACCCCGCGTTCACGTCGCCGCCAAAAGAGCCGTCCGTCTGCGCCGGCTCGCCCACATACTTGTAGTTGGTGCGCACCTGCAAGAAAAAGAATATATTTTACGTAAAAAAACGATTAAAAAACGTTATTTGCAAACGTTTTGTAAGAGATAAAAACGCGTGACAAAAGACGGCGGATTCCAGAATTGCTCAAAAAAAAAGCGCCAGAAAACGTACAGATTCGGTCAAAAAAGCGTCCAAAGCTAGCAAAACATAGAAAAAAGCGGTTTGCTAGATTTTAGCATCATTTTTATCGCCGCGATCGATTCGTGCCAAATTTCAAAGCGCCAAAAATACCTGTTGTTGCTGGGCGGGCACCAGATGCCGGTTGGTGCGCAGGAGCAAATCCTTGATGAACCCGCTCGCTCGCATCGACATACCCTGCAAAAATCTGTTGTAAAGAAGCGCTTAAAAGGAAAGGAGAACGAAGGAAGCACGAGAGCACTCAGGAAACTGCCAGAAAAACAGCGACTTTTTGTCGGTTCTATTTGGAAACAAGAGAAGATAGCTCAGAAAGAACGAAATGTCGTCATAAGCCGCACTAACGAATCAGCTACAAGGCGCTAAAAAATGTCTTGAAACATGTCTAGAACAGCTAGAAAACTCCAGGATCCAATTTTTAGCCGATTTTAAAGTGAAACTATGCCAACTGGCTGCCAAAAACACAGCACAAAACCAGAACACGTCCAAAAAATGCGCGGACCCTTCGTGAGGGGGGATAATCAAATTTGGAAGAGAGATGGGGAAGTGTGGCCCGCCAGTGGGGAGAAACTAATTACGACATGGAATTGAGGGCATGGCTGGGAGAGCCGAGGGAATCTGGGTGTTCGCTAAACATGGGCAGAAGCGCGTGATAGCCATGTAAAGTGGAAAGAAACGGAAAAATTAGAAAAATCATCAAGAGTTCGCGAAAAACTGCAAAAATCCTGAAAATTTCAAAGAAGCTTGATGCCTTCTGGGTTTTAGTGGCGCAATCGATTAACTGGCAGCCAGTTTGTAATTGAAAAATGTGCGGAGAGATGTTAAAGACTACAAACTCCAATTTCGATCAGGTCAACCCCAAAAAAGACGACAAGCGAGCAATTTGAATTTCTAAAAATCAAAAAGGCTAAAAATCCATCATTCTGGCCAGAAAACATGAAAATCCACGCAGAATTTGCCTTCTGGGCCCTTTAAAATGATGGCAATGCCGAAAAACCCCAGGAAATAGCCCAAAAAGTACGAGTTACGGAAATCAATGTTTAGGTGCGGGGCTGGATTCCTGGAGTTGGGCGGCCCGTGTACTTTCTCTCTCTCTATCCCACTCTCTCTCTCTCTCTCTCTCTCTCTCTCTCTCTCTCTCTGGCTCTCTCTCTCCCGCCCCATTCCACTTGAAAGCCCCGCTAGGAATTGTGTTTGTCTGTGTTCCGCTCGACAACTAACGAACACCCGCCAAACCGTTGCATTCTCATCCGAGTCAAGAGAGCAAATATAGCGATTAAAATGTCGACAGGAAATTAAAGTAGAAGAAAAAACGTAGAGAAACATGGCATGATTCATACGAGTGACCGTATACATAAACGGTATACGGTATCAAAATTTGCGATTTATTGAAAATCACAGCAGAAATTAATTTTGCGTCCGTAAAGGGTCAAAGCAGGCAAATTTCGCAGTGACTTTCGGCGTTTCCGGACGAGATAGACAATGTTCAGCGCGGCAATTGACGCCTTAGCTACGGCAAAACTTTGGTTTGATAAAAAACTGATTGGTGAATAAAGGACTAAGGTAGAACGGAAGGAAAACCACACAAAAACGACCATTGTGAGGCGCATTTCAAATCCCTACAGGATAATATTTGCAAATACAGGGTGTCCCAATAAAAAACCGCCCCTCTACCTCGGCGGATCGGATCGGACCGTGACCAAAAGCAATTTCTGCAAAGAAGATTACATACCGTAGCTGACCAATTAAAATTTGTTGAATTAGAATTTGAAATTATTCATTTTAAAAGTTAAAAATGTTTTTTATAAACAAAAACAAGCTACTTTTAAATCGACGTGCTATTGAATTAAATCAATGCTAGTAAAGCTAAGACTAAAACCAAAATTCTGTAGTTTGTAGCCTGTGCGCTGGTTCGCAATATCTTTAAAAACGGGCTTGGATTTGTAGTTTGTAGCTCGTGGATTTTCGAAAATGGTCACTGCTAGCCTGTCACAGTGTGAAAAACACCTAATTGTATTTCGTCGGTCCAGTTTCTACAGAAATTTTTGATTCCCAAGGTCTCTGCTAGTTGGCTAGCCTAAGCCCTCAGCTGATTGCCTTCCTAGTACCTTTAGAGCGTGGCTTGCAAGCCAGTTTAGCCTCCCCAATGGTTTCGGCTAGCGTACCATCCTAACTGACACCCAGTCTGCCTATCAAATGCCTCAAATCCACAAATTTCGGGTAAAGCTGTAGTTTGTAGTCTACACCACGTACCTAATAGTATAGTAGTGATGGTAGTAGTCAGTTAAGAGGGGAGCGGGTGGGTGTGGGGTGGTAGGTAGGTGAGCATCCGGCTGTTGTTCTTCACCTCTTCTCGTCTAAAGAATTGGAAATTAAAAACCAAAACACAAAAAGTACTCGATTTGCCGGTGCTCTGCTTGCTGCCCTTGCTACGACTCTGGCCGCTCTGCTTGCTATCCCTGGATTCCGCTGTTAGGATCGTCTAAAAATAGAGATATAGAGAGCGATAGGGTAAGACTCTAGTTTACCCCCCCCCCCCAGCGCTAACTTTTCAGCCATACGTCCGATTAATGCGCCGAGTATCTCAAAATGTTCGCCGTGGTCGAATTACTATAAAAAAGTTGTTTTCTTGCGGCAAAAATTGCTAAAAAATTTTTTACAAGATTTTGAAAGTTGAAGATATTAAGCCGCTGTGCTTCAATGTACTAGGAGCCTAAAACTCAAATATTTTTATTTTCCGCTATTTTTTTCGACTCAAACGTACTGTAGGCTTATTCTAAAGAGCAAGAGCTACATTTTGGTACCATTGACAGCTCTGTACGTCAAAAGATAACCGAGATACGAAAAGTCACTTTGGAACAGCAAAAATTAACTAAAGAAAACCCAGACTTATAATTGTTATAAAAATTTTTCTAACAATTTTGGATGTAAGAAAACAACTTTTTTATAGTAATTCGACAACGGGGAACATTTTGAGATACTCGGCGCATTAATAGGACGCATGGCTGAAAAGTTACGGCTGGGGGGGGGGGGTAAACTAGAGTTTAGCCAGCGATAGAGCGAGAGGCAAAATTGCCGTATCCGGTCACTAAACCGATTTTGGTTTTTTATATGTCAAAATGCTCAGCAGGTCGAGCTGATTCAGGATCAATTGAAAAAAACTTTTCGGAAACACTTCTGTCTCGAGATATGACACTTCAAAGTTGGCTACTGAAGTATCCGGTCACTAAGCGAAAAGCGGAGTTTGTTATGTCAAAATGCGCAGTAAGTTGAGCTGATCCAAGATCAGTTGGAAAAACATTTCGGAATAATCGCTATCGTGAGATATGTAGCTTACAAGGTCTCAAAACAGGCCGAGACGTAGTACGCAATACACCTATATACGCGAACTGTAAATAGGAAAGAACGGAATGGTAGGGAATTGCTGTTTCTTGGGTAAAAAACATGGTCAGGCAAGGTGGGCCGTCGCTTCGGATGGGCTGCCGCTCACTCTTTCGAAATCGGGGCGCCTGGCCGCTACGCGCGCCTCGGGCGCCCCGATTTCGAAACCCTGTACGAGCTCGCACCCATCCGAAGCGACTAGGCCCCGGGTGGCACGAAGCCTTATTTTTAGGCTCAAACTTGGTGTGGTGAGTAAAGCTAAGCTTTTATCGAGCGCTTATCCATCTTTTTCCGCACTGAAAACGGAGGGGCGAGAACAGGTTATATAATGAACGAGTTGAAGTCGAACTTTGAAGTGTCATATCTCGGGACAGAAGTGTTTCCGAAAAGTTTTTTCGACTGATCCTGAATCAGCTCGACTTGCGGAGCATTTTGACATATAAAAGACCGAAATCGGTTTAGTGACCGGATACGGCAATTTAGCCGAGCGAGAGAGCGAGAGGGGGGAGAGACATAAGAGAGGGCGGAGGGAGAGCGAGGGAGAGAGAGAGCGAGAGAGAGAGGGAGAGAGAGGGAGGGAGAGAGAGACATAAGAGAGGGCGGAGGGAGAGCGAGGGAGAGAGAGAGCGAGAGAGAGAGGGAGAGAGAGGGAGGGAGAGAGAGACATAAGAGAGGGCGGAGGGAGAGCGAAGGAGAGAGAGAGAGAGAGAGAGAGAGAGAGGGGAGAGAGAAAGGGGAGGGAGAGAGAGACATAAGAGAGGGCGGAGGGGAGAGCGAGAGAGCGAGAGGGGGGAGAGAGACATAAGAGAGGGCGGAGGGAGAGCGAGGGAGAGAGAGAGCGAGAGAGAGAGGGAGAGAGAGGGAGGGATAGAGAGACATAAGAGAGGGCGGAGGGAGAGCGAAGGAGAGAGAGAGCGAGAGAGAGAGAGAGGGAGAAAGAAAGGGAGGGAGAGAGAGACATAAGAGAGGGCGGAGGGAGAGCGAGAGAGCGAGAGGGGGAGAGAGAGACATAAGAGAGGGCGGAGGGAGAGCGAGGGAGAGAGAGAGCGAGAGAGAGCAAAAAAATACCTCCTCCATGACGGATGCGCCGTACGCGCGTTCCTTGATCGACGGCACGGCATCTTTTTTCTTCCCGCACAACACCACCTGGAAAAATTAGAAATTTTAAAGGGATTGGTAATGGATTTTTCCTAGCGTGGTAGGGTTTTCCATTGCGTAATCGATTATGACATTTTCATGCCGGTATGACATTCGCGTGTAAAATGCTCGCGTAGCGGTTTTGCCGGAAATAATTTTTGTGAGTTACTATTCTATTTTATCTGATTTAAATATTTGAAATTAGCATACCATAAGCAAGAGGATTCCCGGATAGAAGAGCCAGAACATTCCGCCCACCGAGGAGACGGCCAGCGTGGAGCAAATGTGAATTTTTGGCAGGGTTTTCCGGACGTGATTGTTGTGATTTATGGTAATTTATGAAAATTATGCTAATTATGTAAATTACGTGTACTGGTGTAATTTCGCACTTGTTTCCCTAGGCAAATTAGGATTGTCTCTTATTTTAGTCAGGTCTTTTTCCCCTCAAATATATTGATTTATTCTATTACGATAATAAATTTGAAACTATTTCAAGTATTTTATTAAAACCACATAAATTAGGTATCACAATTTATAGACACGTCGAATTAATTGCAGGCAGGATCACATATTTTAAACTGAATAACTTTGTGCATTAAAGGAATTTCATGGCGTAATGGATTGGAAGCGAAAAAGTAAATTTTCACATAGCATTTCGCAGCTTTAGAACAGTCTTTTCTTGTTCCTTATCCGTATGCGATTTCCTGAGGACCCGTTGCATCAAATCATAGTCCTTTGCATCGTATGCAAGCTTGGCGGCAGTCGCGAAATTTCTAAAAATTGGATTCCTGGTTTTTTAGGGTTCCCAAAGGATCTTGGCTAGCTTGCCAAATTCCCAAATTTTCTCTGCTTACCTGCCCTCCCACTTACCCATAAGCAATATGCGCGGCCACCCTCTCGGTCACTTTATAATCATTCAGTCGAGACAAGAAACGCTCAGCATGCTGTTTGTTGCCGTGTCGGATTGTGGCTTCGATGAAGGGCTGAAAAATCAAATCTCAATACTATTTTAACTTGCAACGACATTAAAAGACAATGGAAATCCAATTTTTTTTTTACAGAACCCTAATTTACAAAGCTTTTCGGTCCTCCAGATTGCGTCGATGAAAGGCTAAAACAATATTATCTTCAAAATATTTTATTTTTAAAACCGCGTAAGTCCATGGCAAAGACAACATTTGTATTTTTTAACAAAAAAAAATGATTTTGGAGTTATCTTAGGCTTGCTGGTATCCTTAAAATCCTCAAAAAATTCATACCGCCAATCCATAAGGTGATTTTTTGCTGGCCATATCGAAGAGCTGTTCCCATTTCTTGTCGGCGGCCAAGCCCTCGATTACCCACAGAGTGACCCTGAAAAGAATAGAATTAGTTGGTTTAAAGTGGCAGTAGTACTAAAAATTGTCTAAAAATTTTAGCTTACTGTTTATCGGATAATTTGTACTGCTGCTTCGTTTTCTGGACGATACCCGGCTTCGAGGCGTTGGCAATGATCTAAAAAATGTTTTAGTTGTTCGCTCTCTCGCTTCCTCTCTTTCTCTCTCTCTCTTTCTCTAACTCTCGCACTCTCTCACTCACTCTCTCTCTCTACCTGTTGTCTAACAGTCGACACATTCCAATCAGCTGTCAATTGATTGCATGCCATCGTGACGACCTCCACGATATTTGCATCTTTCATATGGCCGGCTATTTCTTTGGCCGATTCGAGGTGCTGGCGGTGTTCTTCGGACTGCAACTTGGATATTGAAGGGATTGTGTTAAAATCAACTACCTGAATAATCGGATCAGCCTGTTCAGTTGCATCCAAATGGAACAACAATTTCCTGTCATAATCGGAATTCTGCTCCAATAGTGCCAACATTCTTGCACCGCCATTTCCAAGGGCTCCGCCGCTACGTTGCGTAACGTATTCCGCATAGAGGCAGCGCGCCTGCAATATGAGAATCTTGCACCAATCCGAATCTTTTAGCTGTCAGAGTCCCGTTAAAAGTTATTTTCGGCAAATTTTAACTGGAATTTATGCTTTAAAGAGACCGTAAGTCATTTAATTCTCTATGGATTATGCTGAGCCTCAACGCTAAGCTGCGGAAAATGGTTTAAACGATTACGCAATGAAAAACCGGGATGAAAATCCTTTAATCGCTATTTTCTCGCATTTTGACTATGGCCAAGTGGTAGTGTTCTAGCCCGCCAGGCGCAAAACCCGGGTTCAATTCCCGGCGGAGCCAAATTTGCTTGGAGCCACTTTTTGCTCAAGAAATCAGAAAATGGCCATCTAATACAATTACCTGTGGAATCTTCTGAATCTCCAGCTCATACGTGGTCCTATTCTTCTGTTTGATGAGATGCCGAATGACTTGATGCATCAATTCGGGCTTTTGGGCCTTGGCTGCCAGACCGAGGGCATCACTCACATCTTGCAGGGAGAGGAGGACAGAGACCTGAACAGAGAGGTGATAGGGTGAGAGGCAGAGGGAAGAGAGAGAGATAGAGAGAGAAAGATCGATAGAGATAGGGAGAAAGAGATAGTTAGGGAGATATTATGATACCTGTTTCTCCTCGTCCGTCTCCCTTTTTATCAACAATCGAGCTAATTGGGGAAGTCCAGCCTCAGCGGCTCGACGTGCAGCATCTAAATATTTTTCAAATAAACCCACAAGCAACTAATTAGGGCTTTTTTACGTTCTTGACGCCCCTAACTATTTTTTGCGCCACGACCCGCAATGCAAGTGCTCAAAAATTTCATTACGTAACGGGTTGCGAAAGTTTTCGACAGAAAGAGACACTCGAGTCGCGTTGCCGTGCGCCACAAAATCAATAGGAAATCTAGCCTTCTATGTTCCTTTAAGGGATTCTAAGGCAATACCTACCGGCAAAAGAAACCTGCGGGAATTCTGAGAATTTTGGGCAATTTTCTCGTCCAGCACTGTCATATCCGCATAAGCACCTCGATTGGCCAGTTTGTCGAAATTGGCTTTGACCTGAAAGAGGCTAGAGATGAGAGAGAGAGAGAGTGAGAGAGATAGAGAATAAAGAGTGAGAGAGCGCTAGAGAGAGGGGGAGAGAATGAGCACGACTCACCCATTCGAGTAGCACCACGTCATTCCCATCATTTTTCGTCTCATCACAACCCATCGATACTCTGGAGGCCACTCCAAAAGCCCCGATTTCCACGAGCCGATTTACCAGCGATTTCACCGATAATTCCTCCAATCTAAAAACGTTAATTTCGCGGAGTAATCTATTTACTTACTGTAGGTATGTGAGGGGGATCCCGGTCCTCACCATTCGGACCTCATTGATAATTCTGAATTGGCCGAGAGCACGAACCAATTGGGATGAGTCAAAGTTTGAGCAAAATGGGATGCCGAAACGGATCGCCTGAAACAAAGGGCGTTTTTGCTATTTTAAGGGGCTGCGAAGCGCCAGATTAGACCCGCGCTTCTAGGCGCACTAAGTCTAGACAACTACGACTGACACCTTTAACCCGATTGCAATGGCGAGATCTTTACGCTTTTAAAGTGATTTTGGTAAAGGTACAATCGAGCCGTGACTTCATAAGCCTTCAAAATAATTTTAGGCTGTATGTAGGTTGGCTGGAAGAAACCATATTTTAAGTTTTTCCTGGGATTTTTTTTGTTTTCACATGATTGTAAGGTGCCACAATCAACCCCTTCCAACGTCTAGGTCTAGACAACTACGCGGCAGACCAGGCAACGCCGTCGTTGTCATCTCCTATGTCCAACAAGTGACGTTGGGGAAAAATTGGGGAACGCTTGTGGAGATCATCTAGCGTGTCGCGTATCAGTCTAGGCCTAGTCGATGCAAGGGGTCGACTGTCTCGCTTTCTAGCCCCATGAATCGCTCACCATTAATAGCTGCTTCTGGAGGGATGGATCCGAGACAGAACAGGCGGCTCCCATGCACTGAGCGATTGCTCTAAAAATGTGGATTTTCCAGGAATACGACAGAGATAGAGAGAGAGAGCGATCTCGGAGACCTACTTTGGCATATCCGTAACACCCGCAGTGAGATTCTCGAAAGCATTCAGGGCTCTATTCTGGCATGCTCGAATATAGGCCTCGAATAGAAATGCGCCCTGGGAGCTGTATCCCATTCCAAGGACCCCTTTTTCGTCGCCTGAAAGTGGAGTTTGAATGCTGTCACTCTCCCTTTAAAGTGCATTTTAAGCGCCAGTATCGATCCTTGAGATCTACTAGGTCTGGACAACTACGCGACGCGTCTAATACCGCATAAAAAACGTTCAAAAACCAGTAACTTTGTGTCGTTTGGCCAGTTGCGCAACTTTCTAGGCCTCGTCGCTGGAAGGGGTCGGTTTTTGCGCTTCCTAATCCCTTTAACGTACCTGAAACAGGGCTGGCAAATGTCGATCCAGTATTCGCATACATTCGAACGCCATCTGGTTCGCTCGTTACTTGCACGTGGTCGCCTGTGTGTCTAAAAATTTTTGTCGTTTCTCAAATCGTTTTTGTTTTTTTTTAGTTTTTGACGACTCTGTAAATACTCGAAAACCCACTCATAAACCGCTTGCGCATCGTCCACCGAAAAGAATTGGATAATGGATTGAGTTCTCTGGAGAAAAACGGCCGATTCTCCCACCTAAAATTGACCAAATTCGTCAAAATATTTTTGTGCTTTCCTACCCATCCCAATTGGAAGATCGCGTGCTCGCCGGGGACGGTGATCGATTGAAAAATTTTGGATAAATCGGCCGAGACGATCTGTAAAAAAATTATGACTGAAAAATCCACTTCACCAAATTTTTATTTTATTATTGTCGCTCACCTGAATCAGCCTTTTCGAGTGATATAGCGCGACTCTGGATACATTCCAATCCGAGCTCATCCTACAGTAGTCGCCGTCTTTTTCGGCCCAAGAAGTCGGCTAAAAAGAAGATTTTTGATGGTGTCATTAAAATAAGCATCGGTATTACCTTGCGTAATCAATTACGCCTTAAAAACCGCTTTTGTTCAGCTGCCTTGCTTTCCTTAAAACTCACAATAACCCTCATCGTCTCTCCCTGTTGTCCCATCAGAAATTTGTTGCCATAGACGCAGATGACGGAACTGAGAGATGAAGAATGGAGAGCACACCATGCCGATGGACGATCGCTCATAGCTAAAAAAATGGGTATTCGCATGTTTTCACCATTGCTAAATCTAAAAACGTTACAAAATTTGACGAAAAAATACAAAAATATGGATTTTTCGACGAAAAATGGAGTATTTTCTAGCAAATGTTTACAATTTCAAAAATTTTCTAGTTTTTAAATAGTTTTCCACTCAACAGAAAGTAAAACGTTAGTAAGAACGTTATTAAAATGCCTAGTTCTGGATTTACGGAAAAATAGCTTCCCCCCCCCCCCCCCCCCGCCCCCCGATAATGCTCAAGAACCGCAAAAGTTCTCAAAAACAAAAACTCACGAGATTGCATCAACCAGGGAATGGCCTCCTTCACCGAATTCACGACAAAAATGCGATTCTGGCCGTCGAGAATGGCCATCCCCGTGTCTCGAGCACCATAATTGAATATGCAATAATCCTTGATGTCAGTGATATCCTAAAATTTCAATAAAACTAACATTCAGTCCGCCTACCGTAGAAAAGTAAAAAGAGCCATCCGATCGACCATTCGGTTTGAAACGATTCACGCAGCTTTTATTATCGAGAATGAGTAACCGGTGAGCACGAGACCATCCAATACCCGCAACGTCTCCTAAAAATGTATATTACGGTAGAAAAACGCGTTCTTGCTAAACTACGAAATTTATTTTTGTAATTTTTCGTCAGCCATTCGTTGTCCCGAAAGAGCCTCGTATATTAAGTTTATCAGCTTGAAAGTTACCTCTCCGAATCGGTTCCTGCAGCAACGGCCTGGCGGCAGCCGTCCGAATCATCACATCCCACGAGGAATCCGGTCGGCATTCAGCGATTGCTAAAATTCGCGTATTGTCGATTACAGCTTTTGCGGGCTTAATAATAGGTATCAACGCGTTTTCTCAAAATTTCCACCCACCAATCGGCCCTCCAAACGGACACGCGGCAAAGTGGACGGCCTTTTTGATGCTGATCGGCTCGTGGCGGTCGTAGACCGGCTCTGTTCTGAAAATTTTGGCGGTTACGCCTTGCTTTTTGTCGTTTTTTTCTTGCATTCTTTTCCAGCAAGCCAAAAAACTGCGAAGCGAAGCTTTAAAGCTACTAGATAAAGTTTGGGTTGAAAATATGGAATTTCGAGGTTCAGGCATTCCTTCGTCAGCTAAATGCGTAAATATGCGTTTTAAATTTTCTCACATAATCATAAAGGTTTCGTTTTGATTTTGCTATACTTTGCAGGTCGAAACGGCTCGTTGCACGGGCCAAAATGGCGATTTTCCCTTTTTACCAACTCACTTGAGCATGATATCCCCGATCGGCACCCAGTTGATCGTGTGCGTCGCCTTGTCGAATGGCGTTTGGAGCCCCATTTCTGCAATCCCGGTTTTTAGAGATCTCGAGAAGCTACAAACTCAGAAAATGATCTGTAGAAACTAGAAAAGGCTATTTTACGGCCAATTTCAGCCCAAAGTTGCAGAGGAATCCGCGACAACGACGAAGAATACACTAGAATATTGAAATCAGCCTTCAAAATCTCGCTAATTACGACCAAAAATTTCTAAAGACCGTGTATTCGCTCCAAAAATTTCGAATTTTAATACCCTTGATTGCAGATCTTTTGCAATACCTTAACCTTTATATCATCATGCCCCTATTCCTCATCATTATTGACTTTTTCCTTCTTACTGTTCCATTTTTTTCCCTCTTTCTCGTTTTTCATATCATATTCCCTCACTTTTAAGCGTTTCTCATTGAAACCTTAGTTTTGAATAAAATTCTTCTTCTTATATGTATGAACCACAAACGGCGTGTTTTCACTTTTTCCGATGCTAGTGGATGTTTCTTCTTCCCCTTTTCTATAGCTAATTGTCTGCCCCTGCTAAAACAAAATCGATTAGAATTTCGAGGCTACAATTTCCGAAAAACACGAATTTCTATCTCTCAAACTTCAAAAACTTGGAAGATTTGATGCTTTCTAACTGAAAACTGGTAAAAAACGTTATAAGACCACAACATTACATAAATAAACCGGCGAAAACTGAGTTTATACTCGCTAAAATCCTCTGAAAACACGGACAAGTATAAATTCTTTATCGAAAACGGGAAACGGCCTCAACACACACGCGCTCGCGCACTTTTACACACCACGACGACCCGCAAAAAACACACACTAATTGACCTAACCAAGGAGAGAGAGAGATATACAGCGATCACTTTCGAAATAACATGCGGGGCCGGGGTGTAAAAGGGTAGCAAGTATCAATGGGGTGTAATAAAAGAAAGAGAGGAATATAACTCGACGAAAACAATTATAAGGGGGGCCTAAATAACTCGTGGTGGGGAAAGGCTTCTTCTCTATCTATCGGTACAAATATTCGGACTGCAGGTTAGCGGCCAGCTCGGGCTCCCAGCGATCGCCGTTCAGCAGCAGTTTCTCCTGCAAATGACGGGCATTAATGGGTATTTTCACGTAAATTAATGATAAGAAAACAGGCAGATGGCCAGATTTCAATCGATTTGGAATGTATTGGTAACGATTTTTGGTACGAATTTCGGTCGAAAAAAATTTTTCATGCACATAAATTACGGATCCATTAAAACTCGTATTTCTGCAGGAATTTAGCTAATAATGAGCAGGACTGCAATCGGGTAATCTAAGCCGCGGCCAAATGATGAAGTATAAACGATAAACTATTGTCGTAAACCTGCAAGCTTTTTAGTAGAGACACGCTTTCAGAAACCTTTTCAAACTTAAAAAAAAAACAAATAATTTCCCAAAACATTTCCAAATTGATTTTTTTTCATCTTATCGGTTTTCTAATGAGCCTTTAGCTATCGTAAACACACAACAATGAGTGTGAAATCAGGTCGTCTTGGTTAATTTTGATTACAAAAAGAGGAGATGGCGATTCGCTCGACTTCGTCCTAATTGCAACAATTTTTTGAGCGAAATTTTGTGAGCGTGACGACTCAAGTTGCCAAAATTATTGAAAAAAACCACACGACACTGACTGAAAAAGTGAGAAAAACGGCTTTCTCGTAGCCTTTGTTTGGTTGGTTTGGTTCACTTCTTTACGAGGGGAGCTGGAGCTGCCCTGCTTTTGCTGTAATGAATTTCCTGAAATTCGGGTCACGGATCCGTCACGTTACGCAAAAACGCAGAATCTTCTCGGAAGTATATCCTTAGTTTTTCGCATCAAAGCTCGATTTTTTTGTCTCAGAATTTTCGAGAATATCGATCTCAAACCCCACAAAAAAGCGATACCTTATTGTAGAGGAGCTCCTCGTGCGTCTCGGTGGAATATTCAAAGTTTGGCCCTTCCACGATGGCGTCGACGGGGCAAGCCTCTTGGCACAGGCCGCAGTAGATGCACTTGGTCATGTCGATGTCGTAGCTGAAAGCAAATGTATATTTCGGAACAAATAAACCATTTTCACTGAAAAATGGGTGATCACTAAAAAAACCAAAATTTCACAAAAATATACCGGGTAGTCCTCCTGCTGCCGTCCGGACGCGTCTCCGCCTCGATGGTGATGGCCTGGGCGGGGCAGATCGCCTCGCACAGCTTGCAAGCGATGCACCGCTCCTCGCCCGATGGGTATCTGCAGAAAAGCATGTAAAAAACTATAAAAAAGTTCTCACCTGCGAAGCGCGTGCTCGCCGCGGAAACGCGCCGAAAGCGGTCCCTTCTCGAAGGGGTAGTTGATGGTGGCGGGCTCCATGAAGACGTGGCCCAACATGACGCCGAACCCGCGGAACAGCTCCGAGAACAGGATCGTGTTCAACCCCGCGTTCACGTCGCCGCCAAACGAGCCGTCCGTCTGCGCCGGCTCGCCCACATATTTGTAGTTGGTGCGCACCTGCAAGAAAAAGAATGTATTTTACGTAAAAAAAACGATTAAAAACACTATTCGCAAACGTTTTGTACGAGACAAAAAAGCGGGACAAAAGACGGCGGATTCCAGAAATTGCTCAAAAAAAGCGCCAGAAAACGTTCAAAACGTTCGGTCAAAAAAGCGTCCAAAGCTAGCAAAAACATAGAAAAAAGCGGTTTGCTAGATCTTAGCATCATTTTTATCGGCGCGATCGATTTGTGCTAATATTTCAAAGCGCCAAAATATACCTGTTGTTGCTGGGCGGGCACCAGATGCCGGTTGGTGCGCAGGAGCAAATCCTTGATGAACCCGCTCGCTCGCATCGACATACCCTGCAAAAATCTGTTGTAAAGAAGCGCTTAAACGGAAAGGAGAACGAAGGAAGCACGAACTGCCAAAAATCAGCTCAGCTCAAGAATCAGAAAATCAGGAAACTACCAAAAACAGCGACTTTTTGTCGGTTCTATTTGAACAAAAGAGAAGATAGCTCAGAACGAACGAAATGTCGTCATAAGCCGCACTAACGAATCAGCTACAAGCAAATCTTGCAAGTACTGAAAAAGACGTGAAGTCAAGCATACTTCAAACTATTTTTGGTAGCGAAATCTTTTTTGGTGAACAGCGCGGCCGTGGGGGCAAAAGACGGGCGTGCTGGGGGCTACGAAAGTGTCAGTGGACGGATGGAAGCCCGGCAATTTGGATTTAGACAGCCTGAAGCTTCATCCGGCCGGAAAAGTTGAGAACTAGCAAAATATAAAAAAAACGCCAATTTAAAAGACCTAGGATTAAATGACGCTGAAAGGCTAAATCACTCGTAGCTTGTAATTTAGTTATTTAGCCTCTTGATTAGATAAAAAAGTACGAATTTCTTTAAATTAGCTAAATCCATGCTTATAATCAGGCCTTTCGTTAGCTAAAAACGTTAAATTAATCTAAAAAATGACTAGAAAGTGATTTCACTACGGATTTCGACGAATAAGCGGAATCCAAAGAAACTCTAGCAAAAACCATCGATCTAAAGCCGAACAATACTCAAATTTCAATTCAAAAATATAAAAATCATGGCAGAAACAAGCCATTTTTCCTACCGCAAAAGCACAGTAAAAGCTTTTATTCGAAACGACAAATGAGAGAAAGACAACGGAAAGCTGGTCAACAATCAGATAAAATATAAAACCCGGAGAGCAGCACCTGAGAAGAATAAAGACAACGAGAGAATGCTTGGAAACCAGAGGATGGGAAGAAGAAGAAGCTCTAGTCGCTGGATCGCTTCTTCCGGGAAGAACGGTGATGATCATCAGCACTTCTTGAGCGACTTCCCGAGTGGCGCTGTGATTTCCTCTTTCGTCGCTTCTCATCTGGAAAGAGGAAAAGGTTAAAAATAACCAAATTTTCGCACCTCGCTCATCGTCATCATCACGGCGTTTCTTGTGCTTCTTGCCTTTCTCGTCGTCATCTTCTGAATCCGAAGAGTGCTAAAAACAAAAAAAAAGTTTCAATAAACAAAAATTAATCCTTACCCGGTCACTCCTTCGTTTCTTCTCCTTTTTCTTCTTTCGACCCTCGTGGCTGTGCAGACATCCATCAGCAATCTGGCGCAGGAATTCGGCAAAGTACTGCTCGCGCAGCTCGTCGGATTCTACCTAAAAAGGGGGGTAATTTTAAAGCAATAAAATAAAATTACAGCTTGATAGTCTTCAGACGCCTCAATTCTGGGCAAAACATCGGCCCATTGTGATTCGACGGTCAGTGGAGGGTCGAGAGAGCCGAGGAGATCTCTAAAAAAATATAAACTTCGCTTTTTCGAAAAATCGGAAATTAATTTTTTTTTGTCAGGATCCCAGTTTCTAACATAAATAGAGCCCAAGTTCGGACACTGTATTTGACCATTTCTAAGCGAAAAATTTTGCAAATTAGTAAAAAATCAAAAGTCAAAAATCTTGAATTTTCAGAAAAGGTTTCCATAAAACCAAATAAAACTAAGTCTTCCATAATTGTTAGGCGGATTTTCCACCGTTAAAATATAAGCTTTAATAATATTCTCAATAAATAAAAACCATAAAAATTATATCAAAATGAAACTGACCAACCAAAAACTAAATAAGATCAATAACAAAAAAAAACAGAATTCCTAACCTGAAATGGTCGCGATTCCGCTTGACGACACGCTGCTGCTCGCGTTCTCGATCCTTGATCCGCTGGGCGGCGCCCTCGACTTTTCTCGTGTAGTAGAGGCGCAAATGGTTGGAGGGGATGAGGCGTTGGCGTTCATCGGCTTGTACCCATTCTAACACCTCGTCGTACGTCGTGTCAACCTGAAAAACAATGATTATTTGAATTTTAACAAAAAAAATCATCAATTACATACTAAAGGCTACAACAAAAATTAAAAAAATACCTTAATTTCATGGTTCCCTTCCTTCAGAATTTCCCGGACAATCCGCGCATCGGCCACAAACAAATCCTCGAGTTCTTTCACGAAAATCTAAAAAGTACTTTTAAAAAAGCGGAAAATGATACTTTGAACATGTCGAGAGGGGTGCTGCCGGGTTGTAGAAGCATTGCGGCAAAACGAGGGTCCGAGCAGATGATTGGCGCTAATGAAGACCAGCGGGTGAAGGCTTGGATTTTGCCTAAAAAAGTTTTTTTTTTTGTAAAAATACGGAATTTTGGACAAAAACCCCGAAAATAAGCACACAATCGAAAGCGCCTAACAAAACGAAAAAAAAAACAACAAAAAAGAATTTGGCTTAAAACAGCATTGAAAATTCTGAGTAGTCACTCAAGGTGTCACCTGTCACATGTCAAAGAGAGCAGATTTTCTTTTTTAGAAGCTTAGAATTATATTCTTAGGAAATTATAATTTTTCTATTTTTGAAAGATACGTAATTGAGCGCTCGCGATGTAATAGCTTAACTATTTAATAAATCTCAAAATAGAGCTAAAGCTCCAAAAATTCACCTTGCTGCTGCAGTTCCACGAGAAATGCGCGGAACTCGTCGCGAACACGCCGATCGTGTCGGTACATCACCCTTTTCCCCTGGGCCTTGGCGAGGTTGTGCTGAATCTCGGCCTCTTGGATGAAATCTTGGAAGACGTCGAACGCGTCCATCTTTTCCATATCTGAAAACGAGATCAAAAGATCGAAATTTGCCATACTCAGCAGCTCCGTATCGTTTATGAAAGCCTTCTGCTTGACGAGCAGTTTCTGCGCGTCGGCCCACGTCGTGCGGAGGCCGATTTTGGACATATTTTGGAAAATGTTGGTTAGAGCCTAAAAATCGTAAACTGAGAAATCAGAAAAAGCGCCACTACCTCAACATTGCGCTTCTTCAACCGTGCCTCGGTCTTGGCCAGCTCCTTCAGAACGTCGTGCTAAGATGATGAAATAAACGTGAAAAACGTAAAAAATACCGAAACATCCAGGAAAAGGTCGCGGCGATCATCGAGCGGCACGGCCAGCCAGAGCGGCTCATCGGCGAAAAGCTGGGCAGCGCGTTGATATCTGAAAAAAGAATTACGAAAATTAATTCCTAACCCTAGTTTTTCCGGTTCTTTCGCATTAACGGGGGGAGGGCTTTTTTTCTGAGGATCGAATTTTTCGAATAGAAATAGAGGCAGTGTTCCTAAACTATTTTTGAATATTCCTCAACGTAAAAAGCAAAAATATGGATCTTTCGACCAAAACTTCATCATAAAGTTTTTCTCAGTTGGCTTTGGATTGTTTTCCCACTAAAAAGAAAGTTAAACCTTACTAAAAACACCATTCAACACTTACTATTACGTTATTAGGGAGTTCTAGTCCCGTAGGAAAAAAGCGAAGCAGTTCGTATGGCGCCCCCGATAATGCAAAAGAACCGCGCATCAATCCCGATACCTCAATGTCTTCTTCAACCTCGGGTGCTCACGCAGCCACTGCTCGAGGTCCCTCTTGGCTTTCAGCTTCTGGGCGCGACATTCCTCCTAAACAAAAATTACGACTCAAAAAACAAAAATCACTCTTTCTTGCTCGATTTGCTGCTCGCGCCAGGCGTAGAAGATCTGCTTCTTCTCGGCGGCCTTCTGGATCACGCGGAATCGCGGGTCCGATCCCAAGAATTTCACGGCATGCTCCCACGAATCGTTTAGGGTGATTTTGCCTAAAATATAGATGTAAGCTAGGTATAAAATTAGTCCGTACCTTCCTCATACCGGAGACGCAGCATCTCGCGGAACACTTCCACTTGACGTTTCCGCATCTCCTTCGGCACGTCGTCAACGTTTTCAGGGTCTATCGACGGTCGTTGCTAGAAAAAAAACGATTTATCAGAAAGACAAACTTTTTTACCTCCTTTTTCTTCTTGTCCTTCTTCTCTTTCTTAGCCGACTGCTTCGAGCCGTCGAGCTCGCTCAACGTTGCGAGCATTGCCCTCTCGATCTCGCTCATCCCGATCGAGTCTCCGGCTTGTTGAGGTGGAAGCTGAGCGTCTGAAAAAGATCTTATTCTATCGCACAGAATTACCTATCTAAATTAGAATTAAACTGAAAATAAGGCTACAAATTTTGATGAAACTATCAAAAAAGGGCGAAAATGTCACAAATGAACGTGAAAAACGACCAAAAACTGGGATTCAGGGCAGATTTTTAAGTTTTCCATTACATTTTTTAGAATTTCTGACCGATACTAGCTTAGGCACTACTGAAAACACTCCAAAGCGCCCTTTTTGGCAGCTATCAGCCGAATTCAAAACACAAATAACTGCTAATCTGCTTTCTAAAGCTCTACCATTCTTCTGCGGCACTTCCGGGGCTGCAGTTTGGTGAACAGGAGGCTGCACTTGCGCTGGAGATCCGCACAATCTAAAAAATACATTAAAAACCGTATCAAAAGTTACTCGGCCGGTTTTGTCCATGTGGTCTCCCTGGTGACGATGTGATAATAGTAGGTTCGTCCATCCGGCGCCACCGACGATTTCCATTTTGGCTCGGGTGTCTAAAAACCGATCATGAGAACGCCCGGAAATCTAGACATTTTCCGGCGGTGGTTGGATCCCGAATCCTTCCGGCTTGGTCCAGGTGGACTGGCCGGTGATGGCGTTGAAGTAGTACTTCTTGCCGCCCTCGGCGTCGTGTTCGGTCCACTAAACAGTAAACAGATTTACATTATAAAGGCTGAAAAATATACCGCTTGAGCGACGCGCGGTTCCTGGGGAACGCTAGGTGTGGGAAGGGGCGGCGGGGGCATTGTTTGTAGCAATGGCATTGGAGGCGGAAACTAAACAAAACAGTTTGATAGTTAAAAGTACGAAAATACCTGGAATGGCACGACATTGGGAGGCGGGCGCAGAAAGGGAGGGCCTGAAAAAGAAGGTTGAAGGAATAATTGGCAAATTGAACTTTAAAGAATGGCTTCTGCGCTGAGTAAAAACCAAAAAAGGTTTTTTGCAAAAGAAGATGGCCTAAAAAAGGCTAGAACGTAAGCTAAATAAGTTCAAAACCCGCAAAACAAATGAAAAAGCCTCAAGAATGACATTTTTGAAGCAGAAAGCTGTCGAACCTGCAGGCAAACCGGGAAGGTAGCGTGGCAGCTCGCCGGGTGGCAATGGAAAAGCGCCCGGCGTGCCCGACGGCGGCCCATACGGGAACATCGTCCACGTGCGCTCTGAAAGGACAGAAAATAACAAGCAGAGGAGGACATAAATGAAGCAGAAAAATCCTAACGTTGAAAGAGGATCTGAAGCCGTTTCGAAGCCCCCACAATATCGTTAGAATTTTCAGTTCTTTCTCTCGCCAGAAACCGCAAAGCCCGTCCAAAAAGAATAGCAAGAAACGAACTTCAATAAAACTAAAAACAATTCATCAAAAAAAGTAGCATTTTGCACCATTTCGGCGAAACCTGGAAAAGTCCAAAATTGAAAGTCACTCAAAAGGATTCCGGTGATGTACTCTGTATAGGTCTGTACACAGGTGTAACTTGTACCGTGCAGCAATGGAAAATAATTGGCAAAAACGAAAAATAGGTTTAACGATAAGTTTTATTTCATATTTATAAATCACAAGAAAGAAGAGTTGAGATCTTTTCCGCTTTTCTCATTGCAGCTCGAGTTGGGGGCGAATCAGCTTGGCTTTCACTTCATTCGTCGCAGCATACCCGGTACCACCGCGCTTCAGTTCAATGATATCGGATTCTTTCAACTAAAAAAGTGGATGATTGGTGTGAATTCAGGGAACTTACAGGTTTTCCATTTAGCGGATCAACCCAGTTAGCTTCTGACTTGATAAGCTTTTCGACAACGTCCCACGTCACAACGGTTTTGCTGAAAATTGAAATTTGGATGCCTCAATTTTTACCTGGTCTTCAAATAAGCACATTTCGTCGTATTTGTCAAAAGATCGTGCGTGACGGGGCACATGTATCGATTCTGAAACAGTGTTCTATCACTAGATGCGCCAAAATTACATTCTTCCCGTAAACACTCTTTGCCTTTGCATCATCATCGGGTGCTTCGGTGAATTTCACTTCCATCAGATCCTTGATTTTCAACGGATTTCCCGTAATTGGGCACATCACCTTTTGATTCTAAAAATTCTGCTAGAAAGCGAAATCTCAATCATTACCGGCTTCTCTAACTTTGTAGGCTCTGCCGTCGGGTTCAGTTCAGGCAGCCAAAATGAGGGAAGTTGTCTTGCGAGCGCACCCTAAAAGATTTAAATCAGCTACGGAAATGTTAACCGACGTGCATATTATTTCCTTTTTGCTCATTCCCTAGGGCGCGGACCTTTGCAGCCACCTCGCTCGAGAACCGATCATTGATGGCGCGTTTCTGAACAACGGTTATAAGTTTGAATAAGTCAAAGAAACATACCCGCGAAGTTTCTGCTACTCTGAGACTCTCCTGTGCGGGTAGACCAGTCGCTGCTTCCAGTCGCTTAACTCGCTCCACTTGCTTCTCTTCTTCTTGCTTAAAAAAATGGTTTGAACGGGGTGAAGGTGCTCACCTTTTTCATCGCTTCACCTTCCAATTCCATCTGACGCTCCCAGCTTTTCGTCAACTTGTTGATCTTCTTTTTCTGTGCCAGGAAATATTCGATCATGGCCTCTCGATCAAAGATATGGCTCTCTGGCGAGATGACGGGGTGCCTAAAAAATACGTAAAGTTCGTCAGTTCTCCTGTATCTTAAAAAAAATTATGTCTATACCTGCAAGGCTGAAGCGTCAATGAGCAGCAGTCGAAATCCTTGATTGAATCTGCAGTCAGACGAGCGTGAAGGGTGCCGAACCTGAAGAATAGATTTTAGATAACTTTTTTGCAAATTACCCGCTGGCTTTCGCATCTTTGGCGCGTTCCGCAGCAGAATAAAATGACGAAGCGGTGTTGTTCTTTCCGTGGCGTGTCATTACTAAAAACAAGAATTATGAAAGTATTATCTTCAAAGAAACGAATACAAGAAGGCCTAGCATCCGCCCGCTCGCGTCCTCCCTTTGGCTTTCGATACTTTAAAGAATTTTAATCCTACTATATATAAAAAATAGTGTTTGTGTGTGTGTGTGTATATTTGCATGCACTTCCGTTAGGATGTTCCGCTCCTACAGCCTCGGGAAAGGGTTTTTTGGATAGGGAAGAAACGACAATAGGTTTAGAATGGTCCGGAATCGACTGCACACACATAAAAATTTTGAAAAATTGTGGTTTTCGCTATTAAACATAGGTTTTTGTAAAACCCTGTTTGTTAGGGGAAATTAGCGTGCGCCGGAAGTAGGAAGAGCCTATATAAAGGGACAGAGGAGCCGTTTTTCACTTTTTTCTTGCTAGAATTCAGGAAGAAACATGCAAATTAAGGACTTTCACAGGTCCTGGACGGGGCCAGGGTTGAAAAGCCGCGAAGCGGTTTTTCAACCCTGGTAATGAATTAAAATAATTAAAAAGTGTTAAAATAACTCAAAAAAAAGCGATCGGGGCGGGCAGGCGCGTAGAGGGGGGGCAGCGGGGGCAGGCTGCCCCCCGAAATCCGGCGGGCCCGAAAAAACATAAGGGTCCCCCCTTATGATTTTTTTCAACTTGAAAATTTTTTCGCCTGCGGCGCTGTTTTTCTTACTTTTTCTTCATTTTTTAGCCTGCGGCGCTGCTATTTTAGCGAAATTTTTCGCCTGCGGCGCTCAAATTGCGAAAATTTTTTCTTGCCCCCCCGAAATGTCGCTGCCCCCCGAAACTTGGGGTCAGCTACGCCCCTGGGGGCGGGGGAATGGGCCAGGTGAAGGGGGGCTGGGGAAGGGGGTGGCCTGCCGCGGGAGGGCCCCCCACTCGTTTTATTAAGGCGCCACTTTCAAAGTTAATTATTTTTATTTAAACACAAACTTTTTCAGCATCTTTTCATTGTTTTTGGGGGGTTTCTGACCGCGCTGTATCCGAATCCGAAGTGAGCTAAGCTCTAGCTCCTTTCCCCTTCGCGTCATAGTTTGCTTCAGACGGACAGACACCACTACTGAATTCTTATAGTTGATAACAAGCAAAGGAGGACATAAAAGAATCAGAAATATGCTGAAGGAGGAGTTGAAGACGTTTTGAAGCCCCCGCAATATCATTAGAAGTTTCAGTTCTTTCTCTGGCCAGAAATGGCAAAGCCACCTCAAAAAAGAATAGCAAGAAACGAAATAAAGCTAAAAAACAGTTTATCAAAAAAGTTTACATTTTTGTGCTGATTCAGCGAAATCAACAAAAGTTCAAAATTGATAGTCATGGAAGAGGGTTCCGGTGATGTACTCTGTATTGGGTTGTACACAGGTGTAACTCGTAGCGTACAGCGGCGGAAAAAATGTTGGCAAAAACTGAAAAACGGGTGTTTAGGTTCTCGGGAAAGGAAATTTTAACGATAATCCTACTATATATAAAAAATAGGGTACACATAGGGAAACGGGGGGGATAAAATAACGGGGGGCACTCATTATTATGAAATTTGCAATTACTGAGGGATTTTGCGAGTGCCATTCGATAGAGCGTCGAAAAATATACTAAGAGAATTAATTAGAACCCAAAATAATGTAAATGAAATTTTTTATCGAATAAACAAAAATTGATCAAAATCCATGGGCAGCACATAGGATAACGGGGGAAGCCAAATTTTTGAGATTTTCGATATTTTGAAAACGCGAATCGATAGAACATCAAAAAATATACTAAGAGATTTTTTACAACGCGAAAAAATGTATTATAAAAGTTTTATAGCCTAAAAATTATTTTTGAAAACTATGGGCAGCACATAGGATAACAGGGGGGAATTTTTCGGCGTTTTGAATATTTTCGAAATTTTGAAAATGCCATTCGATAGAGGACCGAAAAATATACTAAGAGTTTTTTTACAGCCCGAAAAAAGCATATTTAAAAATACTTTTATCATATAAAAAGTTTGAGTGCCCCCCGTTATTTCCCCCCGTTATCCTATGTGTACCAAAAATAGTGTCTGTGTGTGTATGTGTGTGCATTTGCATGCAACTTCCGTCAGCGTGTTCCAGCAGTATCTCAAGAAGGGGGGCAGTTAGGGTTATGTTTTATATCTCACCAGTGGAAAAAGACCGCTTCGCGGCCATTTTTCACTGGACCCCGTCCAGAAACCATGAATTTGAATACCTTCTTTTTTTGGGTCTGCGCCGCAGGTACCTGAGTCAAGGATCGATTCTTTGGACTGCGGCGTCAGAGACAGCGTTGCGCTAGGATAATTGGGTCTGAGGCGCTAGTTACTGGTTTTCCCCCCAAGCTTGGCCTGCGGCGCGAGAGCCTGGGCCAAGGACCCATCGTTGGCCTGCGGTGCAAGAGCCTGGTTCAAGCTCCTTTTCTTCGGCCTGCGGCGCTAGAGCGACGGTCAGGCCTAAACCTCGCACATCGAGAGCCTAGAAATACGTTTTGTTGCTAAACTACCAAAAAGGCAAAAAGATGGATTCTCCCAGGACCCGAACTCCTGACCATACGTTTAGTAGACCGGGCGCCAACCCACTACACCACAGGGACGATGGAACGGGTGGCCTGAAAGGCCTCTTCTATCTGGGTAAGGCTGGGGGGAGGGTGGCAAAGAAAGAAAAGGGCGTCCCAATGATCCCGGGCGGGTGGCCTCCTGGTCACTTTACCAAAAACTCGATCTTTGAGTCTGAATCTGCTGAAAATTTCTAACGACAATAAGATGCGCGTGATCCCCACTATCGAATACATAATTTGTCCAAATTCCAGCCCGAAATTCCAAATGGGCATCGAGTTATGGACTGACCACCACGGCGCGCAGCCCACTTTGTTAAGTACTTTTTAGAAAAACGCACATAAAAATTGTATTTTACAAAATCTGAAAAAAACGCAAAATTATATATCGGGAGAATTCGATTTTCAATCTAACCTCCAAAAATTAACGCTGAATTCCTTTTGGATCGCGAGATATCCTCTGAACAAACCTTTTTTTGGCCAAAATGTTAAGGGTTTTCCACTATTTTGCTTGTAAAATCCTTAAATGAGGGAATTTCGAAAAACAAAAAAATGCCTATAAAGAGGATGTGTTTCTCCACTTCCATGCCAAATCTGCGATCGAATTGTGACTGAAAGTACGACACTAGGTACTTTCCCACACCCGCAAAAAATTTTATTTGAAAGAATTTTTCCCCGAAAATTTTGACGACCTGAGCTCTAGGTAAGCTTTGGCCGCTAGGTGGGTTAGCAGCTGCTTAAAATAGTTAGTTCTGACCCCAGGTGTTTAAATCAGAGCCCAAAGATTCCAGATTCCGATAATGACTGCCTCTTTACAATACCTGTACAAAAAGTAATCTGTATTAACTATCCTGTCGATTTTCATGGAGTCGGAATAGGTAGGTAGGCCTTTTTTGCAAAAACTTCCAACATTTTGTAATTTATTTTTTTGTCGAGGCGGCCGCTACTAATTAATAGGACCGAAAAACATTATAAAAACTATTCTAGACGCGCTCCCTACAAAATAAAAGCAAAAACGGCAAAAAAGCAAAAAAAATAAAAATGCGGGAACCGAATTTACTGACCTTTGGCTTATTATTTCCCGCACCCTACCCCTACACCACCGGGCCGACGGGCGGAGGCCCTTGGGGAGGCTTCAAGAGCTCGCGCCTCGGCGCCCCGGTTCTGGCCAGGCTCGCTGCGAATTTAGATGGGTTTTCCATACAAAATCTTAAAATTAAAAGTTTATTAAACAAAAGTGCCCATTAGCAGATAATTTTTATGGCATCGTGTTCCCCGTATTTTATTCGATTTTTCCACCAATTTTCAGCCGCTGTGGAATTTGTGACCTGACAACCTCTACATGTTAGGCTTAAGCTAAGCAAAATTTGCATGCAACCTAATTCTAAGCCTAAGCCTAAGCATACGTACGCACGTAATGCTTTATTAAAATTTATTTACAGAGATCATCAATTAAAACAAATTTAAAAAAAGTAGACTAAGTCTAGGTTGCCCTTGGCGGCAGTCCACTAATATTTTGTATCACAAAAAACGGCAGCCGAATCTTAAAAGATTCATCGTAGATTGGCTTGAAGGCAAAGGGGATGGCGACAGACAAAACTAGCATACACATCAAGAACCATAAACGGTTGTATTCTTTGAGGAAGATGGCTCCGACGATCTCATCATATCGACCGTGGATTTCCATTACCTGGCAGATAGATGATATTTTACTAAGCTAGTCAAAATTTTTCTAACTTACCAAAAGGATCAAAGGTAAGCTCTACCTCATGCTAGTTTTATCTTTAAAACCTACGACGTATAACGGATATGCCAGCGAAGATAATCGATTCCGATTCCGCAATGATAGCATTGTAAGGAATATTGTCATCATAAATAAAACAATCTCCGCGACAATCATCAAAACTGCTCCGGCAAGCAGCGCTGTAGGCAAAACCTTTCGTTGCTTGTTTGGCGGACTAAAGGTCATCACATTGTTAGTCTGAAAACCGTACTTTCCATACCTTTTATACAGGCCAATGAAGCTATTGGTTCCAAAATACACTTCATAGAACCTTCCGGCTGAATATAACAAACTTAGACCCAAAGAATGAAGCGCCAAATCGATTTCGGCAAGTATTTATGGAGCATGGGCATTGGGAAGGGAAGAGAAGCGTAATGTCGATTTATCGGCTCATTATAAGCTTTTCCTTTGAAGGCAGAAGATAACAAACAGTTATCTTCTGCCTTCAAAGGTATTTCAAAGGGAGTTTTGTGACGTGCGAAAAATTGGAATCGGGATCGAAAGCACAATTCACCGGTCACATTCGGTAAGTGTTGCAACTGGCACCTATCCTGTCGCGCGAACAATTTCCCTTCCTAGCTTCTCGTTTCCCACTTTCAATATCACGACCGAGAGCAAAGTTTAAAGGTTTGTTCGAACATCTTACCGTCA